CCCCAAAACCCCAAAACCCCAAAACCCCTTGAATCATAATAATAAAAATGAATTGACTTGCAGCAGATTTAAAAATAATTAAGATAATATTTATAGATTTATCATCATTTGAAATGCAAACTAAAATGTAGCTTTATCTCTCTTAATCAGGAGTTGATTAACTTATCAAAGATGCTCTAAAGGAAGTAGCATTAAAAAAACCTAGTGATCCAATTACTTTTATGGCTGAGTATTTGTAATCAAAAGCCCATCTTTTTCAGCCAAGGCATACTATCAATTCCTAAGAAAATTAAATCTCTTAAACCGCTCAAATTAAGAATGGCAATTCAAATGAAAGCTAGCATTTTAATCTGGATTAAATGACAGTAAAGCCACAAAAGGAGAGGAAAAGCTAGACTTTAAAAGAAATACCTAAATAAGATTTAGAAAGGCCATTTATTGAATAAGAGACTATCACTGTTACTTTGAAGCCATTAGCAGGAGTGATAGGCCAACAGGTTCAAATTGAGCATCTCCAAGAAATAGTAGAAGCACAAGAGCCAGAGGATGATGATGAAGATTTTGATGAATTTGAATAGACTGCTAAACCTGGAGCAGTAATATTTCAAGGCAAGAGCTAATATGAAACTTTAGCAAGCAAAAATTCTTACATGACTACTAATATAGCCACAAATCTAAATGGTTTAAGTTAAAACAGCTCAATGTCTGAAAAGAAGGATTACTCCTAGCTATATATGATGATACAAAACAATAAAATATTAACCTTAAAGGACATCATTGAGCAATTTAAAGATGACTTTAATCATAATCCAGAGTAGCTATATGAACTAGCATCATTTAATCAAACAATAACTCAAGTTAGATATGATAGCTATTGTAATGATGAAAGAATTTTATTAGCTGTGGCATTGGAGCAATATCTCAGCATTAGGTCCTAAAAATAATACCAAAAGGTAATAGAAATTTATGAAATCGCTAGAGGAGGCGAGGCCATTGTCTATAGGCTTGAGCATCAGGATATTGATGAAGTTGTCATTAAAACTAACAAAATCTAAGATTAATAAACTAATCATCAAGCTTTATAAGATGCATTTGTTGATTTTATGAGGGAGACATTGCAGTTAAAACTACTTTAAAATGAGAACTACATTGCTGAGGTAAGGGAAGAAATCATTGAATATGATCAGTCAAGAAATATGATTTCAAGGTATTGTGTAATTGTTGAAAGAGCTTAGAGAAGCTTGCATGATCTTTTGTAGATTTGGAAGAATCCTGAGAAATCAGAGAAATATCTTGAAGCTTACACTCCTGAGAAGTTAGCTTACTTCTTTTTCTAGTCATTGAGCATCATTAACTATCTTCATAGTAAAAATTTCTATTATGGGGACATGAAACCTTAGAATTTGCTTATATTCAGAGATCAGAGGGTAAAAGTAGGCGATCTTGGAATCTCGTTTAAGCTCGATTCCAAAATTAAAAGTGGCCAAAAGGCTTATTAATTAAAGGGATTGTCTAAAGCCTTTGCAAGCTAAAGTACTATGTAAGCCTTTATAGCTGGAAAGTTGTTGTCCAAGGATTAGTTATTTGAAGCAGATAAATTCAGTCTCATTAGAACTTTCTAATATTGTATTGAGGATGTTAAGAAGTTAAAGATCAATTAACAAAGTAAATATTCCTAGCTCCCTTAATAAATGCTGGAGGACTTAATCTAATCAGAGTCTATATCGTCAGTCCATTAAAAATACTAGAATTACTTTAGAGAAGAGGATGAATTCATTCAGATACTTTTCCAATAAATGAAAAACGAGTTTAAAAAGGAAGCGATTGAAGTTGTTTCTAAGATATCAAGATATTCAGAGATATTTGAAACCAAAGTATTCAAGATAATTAGGAGTATATCTGAAAAATCGAGAAGTTAGGTCAATTAGAGCTAAAATTATCTTACAGTAGACTAAATCATTACAAATAGTTCTGATGAATAAAGTGATCTAGTGAATAACATTTAGTTCAGATAATAGTTATTGGACATCTTGGAATCTTAAAAGAATCTTAAAGATCATCTCGGATATCCAATCTTGCAGAATATGGAAATTATTGCATCAATTGGCCCCTATCTCTAAATGGATAGCTCACAATTAAATGGAATTATAGGTGGTAATGATTTCTTCGAAATTACTGATATAGAACTAGCTTAAAACTATTTTTAAGAATAAAATACCTAAGCTTTTGATTAATATATCAAATGGATTGAATACTCTGTAACCGACAAGAACTTTATTGAAAATATCATGAAACAGTTTGGAAGCATAATGTAAGATTAAGAAGCAGGTGCCTAGTTCTTTATTAGATTGGTGGTCAGAATTTCCATTATAGAACTTGAAAATGAATATGATGAGTCTGTCTCTTACCAAGATAATTTTGCTAGAATTTATCCAGCTCTTTCTGAATTAAATATGACTGAATTAGAAGCCAAAGTATTAGGATACATTGGCAAATGCTATATAATAGAATAATAGCCTGAGATTGGATTATAATACTTAAAGGAATTCGAAATTTCAAAAAAAATTAAATTAGAAAAATTCTTCTCTGATGACAATGTAGAAACTGCTGAAATTTACATAAATCTTTTGATTGAAGCAGGAATGTATGATGAAGCTTAGAGTGAGGCTGATGCATATTTAATTAGGTTAAGAGATTTGTTTGGTGATACCAGTAAACAAACGCTTCTATTTTATGGACTATTAGCATAATCTATGCTATTAAGCATTAAAGATAAAAATAATAGAGCTGGTGAGTTTAAACAGGCCTAAGTATTTTTGCACAAATTTAAACATACATCTAGAGAGGCATATATAAAATACTTAAAAATATTAAAACTTCATGACAGTAAAACATTCCGATAAGAATTAGATAGTTTATCACATTATTTGCATGGGCATCCAATTTTAGGAGCTTAGGAATTTAGAGTCATTTTGAAACATACCCACATGAAATAGACAAATCACTTTATTTCAAGACCTGTTATAGATCTATTTTATTCACTAGAAAAAGAGGAAATGAATGAGTTACTATTCTGGATATGCAACTAAAATGAGTTGTTTAATTTGATTTTACGATTTATGAAGACTTTTACTACAAAAGTTAATGAAAAAGATGGTAAGGAATATTTAACTCTAGTCCATTAAGACATACATAAGGACATTAAATCATACAATTAGAAGCATAATTTATAGCTTTTGGGTGAAGAATTTACAAGGGTTAAATTGATTTATGATAAAAATTTGTTTTATTGAAATAATTATTGAATTGAAGTATTTTCTATTGATATCAATTTGCATATGGGGTTTTGGGGTTTTGGGGTTTTGGGG